CCCTCTCTCTCTCTCTCTCTCTTTCTCTCTCTCTCATACATACTCGCACACGTACTGTGCTGCGGTGTGAATGGCGAGTCACGTGACAATATCAGCCCGGTGATTGGCTGTCGCGCCAAAATGAGTGACGCGGCGTGGCGCCAGTCTAGACGGCGGAAATTGGATTTACAGCGCAGCGTTTTGGGCGGCGCTGCTACTGCTGCGGCCCACGGCCCTTCTAACGAGACGCCACGCCACGCACGCCGAGCCGCGTTCGGTCGGGTTTGGCGCGGACACACGCGACGTAGAGATAGAGACCCTGTCCCTATGTTGTTTTATTTTTTCTCGTTTTCTTCTCCTGTTTATGTTGGGCGACGCAGCCGAATCAGTGGCGCGACGAGGGACGGCGCCGCTGCTCGGGCTCTGCGCCCCGCGCCTTTCAGATCGCCGATGACAGTGATTTCCTGCGGGTAGTGGTGGTGGTGGTGCTGCTACGAGGTGGGGGAGGGGTGGGGGCAGGATGGACGCGGCAGCGGGCAGCGCTACAACGGCCTGGCAACAGCATCACAAACATAGACTGCTGGATGAAGCACTCGAACACGTACTGTTCCATAGTCGTGTGGCAATTGTTTTGTTTCTATTATCTGAAATTTGCGATGAACGCACAAACGTCCTACTCCATTAGTGTTTTTGACCTACTTGTACATTACCGAGCGTAAGTACAACGGCAACATTGTGCTCAAAGTATCTATGGTTTCTGCTGCTCTCAGGACATTAATTGAGTTCAGAAAAAATAAGGCAGCGGACTTTTGGTTCGGTTGTCTCTTTGGCGATCACTCCCCTCCCCCCTTCAAATGGGCCCCTGCTCCTCCTCAGGCTGTGGTTGTGTGTTTTGCGTGCGTGTGTGTTTATATATAGTGTGGGAGAGAGAGAGAGAGGGAGCAGACAAACTGTGACCCGCGCTGGCACGCGCCCAAAATGCCTCCGATTCTCTGCTCAATCACTTGTTAGTAATGCCAAAGTCCCAATCGAGCGGGCAGGGCCTATGACGGCCGGTCGCAAACGCAGGGGGAAGCCCCAGCACCACACATCAACGGCAAGCGGGGGAGGGGAGGGTGGGGGGAGGGGTTAGAGAATTCGACGCAGGCTATCGTATAGCAGGGACCAAAGTCAGTCTTCTGATATTTCTTTTCTCTCGGACATGATGTCCACAGCAGCGGAAGATACACTCTCCGCTCACATTGCATACATTGCATGCTGTTGTTGCGCTCGACGGCTACATTTTTACACTCTTCCGAGAAGAGGCTTTGCGTTTGTGTTTCGCACGCTCGCTTTGCCTCTCTCCCCTCTGGTGAGATGCGCCTACTGTGCCGGGAAGAGGCTGCCGTTGTTGCAGCATCAGGTCGGCGCACGAGCCGAAAAGGCCGTGAAACGGGCCGCCGGCATAAATCTGCATCGGCTAAAAGGATTCATCCGGCGCTGCCGTGCAACAATGTTGACGAACGCGCCTGATCTGATTAGTTCTGGTGAGCGGGTTGCGTAGGGCTGCGTTGCCCCCCGGCTAGTGTGAGCTTGGCCCCCCGTCCTCGCCTCTTTTATTTTTTTCCATCCGGGTACCTGCTACACAGAAAAGTCTGTCTGGGCTGCTGATATGGAAGCTTGGAAATTTGCTAGCATTTAAAACAGAAAGCGAACGTCATTTTTTTTTTCCCTTCTAACATACGTACTTCTTTTTTTCCCCTCCGTCTTTTGGCGGATTCTTGACGACAACGTCTTTGGAGTCGCATCTCGTTATCCAACTCGGTCCGCCCGCACTGAGGAGGCCGGCCGAGTGCGACAGCCGAGTCCAAGTAAAAGTTTGCTCTCTTTTAAGGAGGCGGCCAGGGGCGGCCGGGCGGCCAGCTCCGGCAGTAGGGGTTGTTTTGCCGAGCAGATGTTACGTGGGCCGCGCCACTGGCCATTGCCTCCCCCCTCCCTCCGATCACTTTGCCCCCAGTCCTGTGTCTCGCTCCCCTCGCCTCTCTCTCTCTCCCTCTTCCTCTTCCTCTCGCATGTCGTCCCCGCTCGGCAAACTTGCGTTTTTACGAGTTTGGCCCCGTCACCCAAGATGCTGCCAAAGTTGTGCCGGAGCAAGGCGTTCCAGCATGAACAGGCCCGGGGTGGTGCCCTGCACACACACACACACACACACACAATGCAGTCTGGAGCTGCGCGGTAGTTGCTGCCGTCTCCTTCACCTGACGAGATGAAAATTTTGGAGAAAAGCGGCGCAACCTGCCCTGCGCTTGCTTGTCTTGGCATTCCTCCGCGTTCCATATTATTTCATCCGCTCCTTCTCTCTCTCTCTCCCTCCCGCCTCTCTCTCCTGCGGTCTCCACCGTTTCATCGTGATTTTTGCGCGGTGCACCTTTCGTTTCTCTCCCCCCCCCCACCTCACGTGTTTCTCATACTTTGTCAGTTTTCCCCTCATCCGCCCTTCCCTTTTCATTTTGTCGCGCTACCGTCTTCTCCCTCGCACCCCTCCACCTCCCCTTTCTCCCCGCCTCGCTCCCTCCTCGCCATCTCAGACGAGGCTGGCAGGCAGGCGCGCACGGGCAGGGCGTTGTTTGCTGGGACTTCTGTGTGTGAGTTTGGTGGGGGGAGGGGGGCAGGAGGAGGAACTGCCCTCGAGCAGACAGCCTCACGGGAGAACGCCCCGCCACGCCCGGTTCCTCCGGGGACGAGGAAACACACACACACACACACACACACACACACACGGAGAGGGGTGAGGGTAGGCCGCATTAGTTGAGATTCACCCCGATATTTATACTGCTCATTTCCCGAGTTGACATTTCATTAAATCTTGCAGTCTGCTCCGGGCCGCGCCCCGTGCCCCCTAGCCCTGGCGGCGCGGGGGCGCGGGGCGAGCAGTCGACCGGAGTAGTTGTCGGGGACTTATTTTCTATCTTGGCGATGTCGTCGTGGAGGAGGTGGTCTCTCTGTCGACATCAACGCCCCCTCTTGCCTCCCGGCGAAGTGGTGCTTAGTAACTTTCTCCGACTTGCCGCCTGTAGGCCGCCTCGTCTATGGTTTGTGTTTGGTGCTGTCTTCGGTTTTCCCGGGTTTTCCCGCTGCTTTACCCCATGACGTCGGCGTGCTCTTTCGGTGCTCTGCTTTTGTTTTTATGTAAACTGACCAGAACCATCCTACTTTTCCTCTAAACTTAAACACATATTTTGTCCATCTTTTCAACCGCTCTTTCTCCATTTCCTTTCCCTATAGATAGATAGTATAGTGTATTCATTTCTATGATATTGTTCTGTGAAAAAAGTCCACGTCAATCATGCTTTCACGGGTTTGGTAGTGGCGGCAGTGCGGGGCTGTGCGGGGCAGGGTCGGAGTTGGAGGAAGGTGGTTTAGGGGTCGCGGCCCGGCCCGGCGGCTCGCCTGGCGGTCGGGTCCCTCGACGGAATTCTTTTTGAGGCGAAGGGCAAGGAGGCGGTAGCAGCAGCAGCAGCCCCTTCTTGTCGGGCTTTATTAATTCATGGACTGCGGCTCGCCGCGCCACGCCCCGCCACGCCCCGCCACGCCCCGCCACGCCCCGCACGGCCAGCAGGTGGGGTGGCGGCCAGGTGAGGAGGGCGGGGTTGGCTGGAGGTCCCCCAGGAATAAACAAAAGGGACTGTTTCATTCTGCTCGTGAGCGCGGGGCCATAACTTGTGGCACGCCGCCTGCAAAAGTTTGCGCGGCTGCGGCCGAGGCCGACTTTTCGATTGTCTGCTGCTGTTGCTGCCACCGCCTCTGCTGCTGCTGCTGCTGCACTGACCCCCTTCCGTGTAACCCACGTCACCCCAACTCACACTCCTGTTTCTCTCTCTGTTGCAGCGGTGGGCTCCATGCGGCCGGGACTTGACCCCAGCGGCTGCATCAACGTTCAGGACAACAAGGACCTCGTGAGAGACGAAGCCTCCCTGGGGCTGGCGCCCTCACAGACTTCGCCAACGGAAGGTGAGCAGGACCTTTAGTACGGAGTCCAAACTCCAGAGTGTGTTTGTTTTCTTGAGCAGTCGTTTTTATCGAGGTTTTTATTTAAACTTGCCAACTATCCTACGTTGAACTTGTTCATGTACTTGAAAACGTATTTTGTCACTTTTGGTCGGCGTCAGAATTTAAATGGGATCAGCAAAACAGTGCCAATAAAATAAGGCCTGCGGTGGGCCCACTTCGCCGCCCCTGCTAACATTCAACCCCGGTGGTCGATATTTCACCTAAAACTCTCTCGTCGTCGTCATTTGATATTAGTTTGAAGGGAAATGCCGCGCTGTCCGGGGGGACATCATTAGGGACATCAGGTCACCGGAGGGGCGGGGCGGGCCGACACAGAAAACAGCCGAGAATTTGAGATGAAGAAATTAGAGGGACACTGGCGGAGCGCGCTTCTTGGACAGTTTGTTCTAATCTGGCGCGCCGGCACGTCGCACGCTAACGACCAACACTTTGAGGGCTCCCTGCGCCGAGTGGAGCGGGCGGAGTCGTCGTGGAGGTTCGTTTTCATATTCGTTTCACGAAGCGCCAGCCGGAGCTCTGCCAGCGGGGTCCAGTGGCTCGCGGGCCGAGCTCGCTGTCGATAAGAGCACGGCCCAGGCGTGTCGATTAATGCAGATTGCCCCCTCCGGGCCCCCCGTAGTGGAGCCCCCTCCAAATGGGCTTCTCCCCCCTCCTCTCTCTCGCCCTCTGTCTCTCTCTCCCTCTCCCTCTCTCTCCCTCTCCCTCTCTCTAATTTCCGGTCACGACACTGGAAAGGGCTCTCCCGCGTGTGGCTATACACAGCTCAACGGCAACCAATGCTAGAGGGAGCAGGAGAGAGTGAGAGCGTAGGATGAAGGGCCTTAATGTAAGGTAGGCCGCGCGGCTGCGCGAGCGTGCGGCGGGTGGCCTACCCTGAAGTCGCAGGGCGCGCGGGCGCGGCGGGGCGTAAGATGCTTTTCTCCACTGCAGACTCAACTTTGCAAAGTCGACTGTTGCCCGGAGTCGACTTGACAAGAACGATTTTGTAGGCGTGTAGTTGCTATAACATGCACATGCGTGTTACATACTACGTCTACTTTTGTGTTTGCAGTGTTTTTGATTTTGCGGTGCGGAATGAGAACATAAGATGGAGGGAGGAGGAAAATGAGGGGGTCAGGGAGGCAGTAGTGGTGGTGGCGGTGGTGCTGGTCTCACGCACCTTGCATCTTGCGTATAGGCAGTTGAATTTTCTCCCCGCCTCTGCCGTGCCCTTCCCCCGGGCCCGGTACTACAGGGCCCGAGGTGTGGCCGTTCCCATGACTGCCAAGAGTTGTAGTCCGTATTCGTCTGGTTCCTTTCGGAAAAGCGAAAGCGTCTGATCCAGGCGTCGATAAAGAGAACCGGCACTCCTACCCTACCGCGCTCCGCCGGGCCACGCCCCGCCGCGCCGCGGGGCCGCGCGCTCTCCGCCGGCAATACCCGGAAATGAGGGGTCGACATGCGAACGCTGCAGCGGCTGGGCAGGGGACCTGTCAATAGTATCTGTGTGTGGACGTGTGTGTGTGTGTGGGGGGGGGGGGGGTGAAAGAAAGGATGAATGTGTGTCATCCGTCCGTCCAATGTCGAAAACAATTTATTACACTTATTGATTTTATTTGGTCACCATGGAGTAAACTCGCAGAGACAAAGAAAGGCGTCACCGCGTCCCCACAATTTTGAATACGCAGTATATTTTTTAGTTTTAAAAATTTTGTTTTTGTTTTTTTATTTTTCCTTTTGATTCAATAATAATTTCTAGTCTATTCGAGCCTATTACTTTTATTTGCCAAGCACACATTTCGAAAAGAAAATCATCATCTTCCAGTGAGATGTTAGATTGATTTACGCCAGTAAAACTCAGTTTGTCCAATAATAAGTGTGTATCTTTTTCTCTTTCTTTTTTCGAGTCCCTAACGGTTTTTTGAGCGGGTGCTATAGCGAGGGTGACGGCGCTCTGCTCCCTCATTACCTCCTCATACAAATTCACTTAGCAGACGTCGCGTGCTCGGATTCATATTGAAATTCGACGCATGTAATCGAATGGAGATACGTGGTAATGCAGCGGCTGCACGCGACCAGACACACCCCTGGGCCCTTGGGGCGGGGCGTGGCGGAGCCAACACCGATATACCTTATAATTCAACGAATACTTTCTCTCGCAACACTCTTCAGAGAGTACAACAGTGGAGTATCAAAGGGAGAAGAATGGTTCTTTGCGTGGTCAAGGTACTAAAGTTCCCAGCAGATCCTGCAGCAAAGGCCCGCCACCTTCTTTCATCGTTGTGATCTCCCTCCCTCTCTCTCTCTCTCTCTCTCTCTCTCTCTCTCTCTCTCTCTCTCTCTCTCTCTCTCTCTCACACACACACACACACACACACACCTCTCTCCTACCTACTGCGCTCTATCCACCCCCTGCAGCAAATTGCAAAAACTGCAAGGCGAGTCCAGATGCCCGAAGCTCATCCACCCTTTTACGCTCTTTTACGGCCTGTCTCCCTCTCCTTCCCCGCCCCTCTCTCCCGCCGTTGCGAGCTGCGCCGCCGCCGGGCTGGCTGCGCTTTAAACGCAGCGATGCAAGACTAAGGGCGGTGCGGCTCGCAGGAGGGGGTGCATGAGGTGGTGGAGGAGGATGAAGGAGAGGAGGAGGAGGTGCACTTATTCGCGGAGCTTAACAAAAGTCCCTCAGGCTCGTTTCTTTTCGCCCCGCTGCTCGCGCTGCTTGGCGTCCTGGCGCCTCTCTTAAACGCCCCCCCCCCCCCAACCTTCCTCCCTCTCTCTTCCTCTCTTAGCGTTGAGCTCCTGCAGCAGAAGCGTTCCTTACCTTTACCTGAGAGTGCTCGCCGGGTGCAACTACCATCTCTAGCACGACGTGGCAGGGTGTGGCGCGGCTTGGCAAGCATCCACCACAACCACCACCTCCACCTACCACTCCGCTGCAAGTCGCTCGGGCTTCTCTCGCGCCATTTATGTAGCACCCGCATCGGGGGCGCGGCGGCCTGGCGTCCCCAGAGCCCTTGGAAGCCCCTGGATAGGTTCTGTAACTGGAGATCAGAGCGCCAGTGGCGGCTAGAGGCGGTTGGTGGAGGCGGGAAGGGGTGCACGTACGTTGCTGCCGCTGGTGGATGGCACCGCAGTGAGACAGGCAGACAGACTAATAGACAGATAGACAGGGAGAGGGGCGGCACGTCACACAGCCGGCCCAATAGTTTGCACCTGACGCGGGGCGCGCGGTAAAAAGCTTTCAACTGTCGTGTCGCAGGTGATTGATCAGAGTGAGTGAGTGCATCGGGTCTGGCCGGGCCTGGCCGGGTCTGGCCGGGCCGCACTGTGACCTGTTTTATCCACCCCCTCTATGCTCCCCCCACCACGCCCACGCGGCCTCTCTAAACCTTTCCAAATCCACTCCTGCCCCGCCCCGCGCGCGCTAATGGTGGTAATCCGATAGAGCCGCGCTCATCTCTGTGAGGTGAGGTGTGGGGGCGGGAGTAGCGCAGGTGAGACGGACAGACGGACAGGAAGTGGTGGTGGTCGTGGTCGCGCTGGTAGTTGTGGTCGCGGTTGTGGTTCTTCAACTTCAAAAAGGGTTGGTAGATGTGAAGGTGCTGGTGGTAGTGGTTTGGCGCTGTGCCCGGATCCTGGCTGCTGGACGAGGGCGCGAGAGGACGCCGTCGGCCAAGGTCGGGGCGGGGCGGCGGGGCGTGCATCTTCCCAGACGAATTCCCCAAATGATCGTTTTGACTGCGCTCCGGGGCGCACATTACGGTTATTTATCTGTTTCCGGGCGGCTGCTGGGCTCGGCGCTCGAGTGAAGGGAGAGGCGGGCGAGGAGCTCCGGGCCGGGTCGGGGCCGCCTCTGTGGGAACTGCGGGGCCTGGGGAGGGAGAGAGAGAGAGAGAGAGAGAGAGAGAGAGAGAGAGAGAGAAGGACGGTCGGCACGAACTCACCTGAACAAAGGGCTACCTCCCCATCGTCTCTCCACCCCTCAGGGCCCAAACACTGGAGCGCCGGCGCCAGGCGGCTGGAATGGGGCAAAATGAAGGCGCCGCTCTCTCTGTCTCGCTCTTTCCCTCGCTGTGTCTTGCTCTCTCTCGCTCGCTCCCTCTTGCTCCTTTTCCCGCGAGATGTAGAGTCTTGCTGCCGGGTGGCTCACCCGTAACCGTCGTCTTGGCCGCCACGCCACGCCACGCCACCCCTGCTGCTGCTGCTGGCAATTTTTGGCAAGTGTGCATGTGGTGGTGGAGAGCAGGAGGAGGAGGAGGGCGGGAGGGGGCTGCGGGCGACACCGCAATAGAGTTACGCAATCTGGACGGCAGTCTGCGGGCTGGGGAGGAGGGGGCTGGACAGTGCATTGTGGGGCGCAGCGGCAGCTTGGAGCACACGGAGGAGGGGGGCGTGGGGGGCATGCGCGCCTCACTCAATTAACGCCCATCCGAGCAAGAAGAGAGAGAGAGAGACGGAGGGGATTGTAGAGGAGAGGAGGGGACAGGGCGGCCGTCTGCGGGTGCACCGCTGGTGCTGGTCGGCCGGCTGGGCTGGGGCTCTCTCCAGAGGTTAGCTGGGGGGGTCAAATCAAATGTGAGCGGGAGTGCGTGGGGCGTGGCGGGGCGGGGCG